GGAGTGAGTCATATATCCGCAGTTCGAAATCTTTAATTGTCAAGAATTCGCACTGCTGATGATCTCTAATTAGTACAGTACTTCTCTCTAGTTCCTTTCATTCTTGTCGTGCAACATAGAAGATAAGTGCTCAAGAACAAGAAGGGAATTGTTCAAAGGATAACGGGATGACTGTAAATACTGTGAGTCTAACAAGCACTGATAGACTGTTCTCATAGTTTTTTAAACAAAATCGTTGCCCGGTGGCGTTAAGTTAGCACTAACGTTCAAAAACACAGCTACCTTCATTTCTCTAGCCCGCTACAGTCAAGAGCTACTGAGCAAACTTTCCAGTCGGACAATTCGCTTTTATATAACGTTAACCTCCCCATCGGTCTAATGGATTCAAGTGAAGCATCATGCAGTATGGTGCGCAACAAATATCCTCAAGTGGAGAAATTCCGGTGCCCATGACAACGCTGTAGGTTTAATGAGAAACATCAGGATTCATCTCGTATGACAGTGCCAATATTTACCCCATGTTCACTAGTGCATCGTCGTCGATTGACGACATATACCGCGTTGGCTATCAATAAAATGTACTGTTCGCCAACTTGATGACCGAGAGTTCAGTTGCGGGATTCTGACGATCGCCGGGTTATAGGTAGCTTTTTTTCCTCATTGACTACCCACTGGATTACCAGACCATAAAAATGAGGTCGTTTGATTAAGTTCAGGTAGAACATAAGGTTGACGGAAACTCGGGGACTGCGCCTACCTGATGAGCACCAAGAAGGGCGAAACTGGCCGTGGGCTGTCGAAGAGTTTTCAGCAACCTTGTGAGCAGCTTTTTAAGGACGCACTGCGAACAATCACGTGTGCTAAGAAAGCTTAGCTTTAAGCATTTCATTGATCACTTCTGACCTTACAATGGCTTCTCTAATTTCCCTGATTATTGATCATTGAAATAAACAATCAATAAACGATCAAGTTGAGAAAATAATAAATCTTTCGGTTCGAAGGGACACTTTCATTTCCTTAATCAACCGTATATTGCCCCTTAAAAACACTGAATTCATAGGGTAATAACACTTATTCGATAAATTGTTCCAAACAGTCTACCTCGTTTCGTAAGATCCGTTTTTTTCCGGGTAGTTTCCACTTCTAGAATCATTCCTCGGCTTGGCTGCATTGCAAATGTTGGAACCACAGAAGAACTCAATGTTGTAACTGATTCGTCTTCGGTGGCATTGTAGCCACCCTTTCGCCACACACAGGACTGTACGGGTCACCGACACTCGCTAGATCACGAGATCTGTCTTTTTTTCTTACACTTACAAATCACGCCACAGAATCGTGACTTATATGACTAGACAGCTCATAGTCAAGCCCTTGATCCCAAGACTCGTCCTTCTTTTCCTACAAGTACAAACCACGACACACAAGAGTGACTCATCTGACATAGACTGCCTACCGTCCGATAAGGTAGCAACAAGTCAAGACTGACACCCACACACACGCAAACGATCCTACATATAGGGTAACAGCGCAGCAACACAACACAACTCAACAGAGCTTCGCATGTCGCCCAACTCGGAGAAGAGCCGCCCAGGATTTACGGCGTTTTAGGCACGGATATTCAGGAATACGTGTGGCCGCTACAGCGGCGAAGAAGACACAAAACCTGCATCCGGACATACAACAGGATTTATCAACCTGTACCTGCAAAACGATAAGTCCCTTGTTCGCCTATATACCTGTTGTAATAATTTTACTCAACAAACTGACATTGTTGGTGCTCTCCGTTTTCTCGTTCATACAACTAGTTTTCGGGTTCTAGTAGAGCATTAACAGCATCCCCTCCATCGATTATATTTTCACTGGACTGAAAATCCAGCAATAGTTGCATACTGTCTTTTTCACCGAAACTGCACTAAAGCAATTCACTATAGATTATCGAAAATAGACAACCTGTTCCAAGTCTTTCGGGTCCATAATGAACCTACGCAAAAACAGTTCAAGTTCTGATTTGGACTAAGAACAACTTTCCTCTAAACTACTCACTGGTGACAAAAGCCGTCTCAGGTCTACCGTTTTCACGAAATGAATGATAATTTTGTGTAGGGGTGTCAAGCAGGAACATGTATATGGAGCAGAAAAGTCAGTTCAGGGCTACTGAGTTGAATGTGCTGAATAACTGAGCTGCTTAGCATCGTTAGAACTCTTCTCATTTTCTGAGCATTTATCTTTGAACTGATATGTCTAAATCTCTGAGAAACCCGACTAAACACTGAAAATCCGAAACAACCGCATTGAAACACTTCTTGTATATGTCAAATGCTTCCCGACGACACTGCAACTCAGTGATCCTCTTTGATCTTTTCGTAGCTATGCAAAGCTCACCCTTGTGTTCAGTGGGTTGTGCGTGCAACAATAAGTCAGTTTCATCACTGTGTTCTACCCTTCTTAAATGGCTGAAATACACTCAAGCCGGCGATTGGTCAGGCAGGATTGCTGGGGATTCATTGTTAGGAAGTCTTGCTTCTTAAATGGCTGAAATACACTCAAGCCGGCGGGAAATTGGTCAGGATTGCTGGGGATTCATTGTTAGGAAGTCTTGTAATGATGTTATATCACCTGTGCAGTGTTTACAATCATCCACTACTGGCTCGGAAACGACGCTTTTCAGCTCTTATTAGCAGGTTTTTTTCTTTTCCTGTCACAAAGTTCACCGGTTATTGACAGTTTTGCCGTCGTGACAAGAACCGGACGTGAGTGAATCGATTAGTTGCATTGAATACTTTCGAGCGTGTTGTTGAAACTTTACTGTCATTCGGAGCTCCATCCTCATGGATCCGTTCAACAAGGTTTTCTAAACTGATTATGATATCAAATTGACTTGGGTGCCAGGCACCAAACAATTTTACCTTTTGGATTAGATCCATCATTCAATGGTGAAAAATTCTGCCTGTGAAAGGTTTACTCTCGTGGTTTGTTCAGTAGCCTCACGGTGATTTTCATTCTGCCCAAATGATTCGTGAGCTTTCCGCTGGATCTGTAGATCACCGGTGGACCAGGTAAGCGACGAGAACCAGTGAGATGACAAATCAGCACCCAACGTCACCGAAAAGAGTGACGTTTCGTAAGAACGGTCATTTGGAATGCCCTCAATCTGCATCATCTGCAACAATCGAAGTGGGGCAATTTGGAAACCTCAGATTCTCAGGGGCACTATTACTCCTCCGACCGGCAGGCCAGTTTATATCTGAATAGCAAGTTTTTCACAACTGGGTTTCGGTTAGATTGAAATCACATAACCCGCGTGCTTCAGCGCCGAACATGGGGCTAGATTGATTGTTTGGCATCCGAACACTGGGTAATTTTTTTCCGAAAATGTGACCTGTAGCTATTATCGTTGGTGTCTAAATACTGCTCCTGCAGCGCCAAGTAGTCCCATCACTGATATGAGTCCGATCATTGCTGTTCGATTTCAAGCTCAAAGTGTTCAAAGATCTGGGCGAAAATAGGTGGATCAGTAGGAAGCGGTCCTTCCCCCGTCCGAATCGCTTTGCTCACCTTAATGAACCATGAAACCTCGTGAATGAGTGTAGTAATGGACCGGGGATAAAGTGTTTTATTTAGATGTTCGTCATGCACAAGGCGAATTCTTCGAATCGTTCTGAACATATACATCACTGAGATTATGCAACTATGAACATTGTATATGGCATTGTGAACTGTCCATTTTAAAACGAATTTGGAACAAAGCTTGTTTCTTGCGACAGGTTCTCTTTGCTAATTTACATGATACAAGGAATCAAGTGGTAAGTTTGTGAAGGTCACGACACATACTCTTCAAAGAAAGAATTGAAGAAAGAGGTGGGTTTGGAAATATACGGGTCAGTGCGTCATGGGATCAAGTGAGTGATGCCAATATCAGGCAAGTTTCCGGATTTCTCAAGTTCAAAGGTCACACAGATTTCCTTCGAACTACCAGTTGCAAAAACTGGTTATTCAGAGGCGCATGCAGTGCTATGTTTGTGCCGCGTGAATAGATAATCGCTTCACAGGATTGGTAGAGGCTTTCCGGACTAAAGCCACTCCACTTTCCTGCATGATTCACCACCTACTATTTGGTTTCACCACCGTCAAACTTCAGCTCACCACAGAAGTGCAAGTAGAGCGATTGGCCTTTAACCGGTCACACCGAGCCTCCTCACATCCGACCCTCAATGCAGTACTAGTCTAGCAAGTCGGCAGCGCAGGCGAATCTGCTGACCGAGGTCAGTCCACACCGAGACGAAGGCAGCGGATACCCGAGGGTGCAATTCAGTGAGCCTGTGTATGCCATATCGTTTGGAGGCAAGCCTTTACGCAAGGGCTTGATCCTCGGGCTAATTCAGAAGTTGGTTGGATAAACGGACCTACCAAGTGTCGGTTTTTTGTAGAGCAGCCCGAGCGATTAGTGTGAACAACACACTTCCTCACTCCAACTCGAGAGCTAAGAACGCATACAAAACTGCGCCATAAGGACTGACTTGAGTGAGTAATGGCCGTTGTGCACAGGGTCTGTAGAAGAGCAAGCAGTTTAAGCGAGACTAGATGAAAACATCTGCAGATGTAACAACCCAGAGTAATATTATTACAGATGTTGAAAAATGTAGCGAATTCGGGATGAGTTTATTCTGTTAAGTCGCTTGTGTCGCCACGTGAGCTACTCATATCTTTATCAGTAAGCCAAAATTAAAATATTCTGCTGAAGGACCATACCCAGCCCTAGCTTTGATGGCACGTGTGTTTTGGTGCTTGACGTATGGGTGGTTGATCAGGTTAGCCCCACAATGCGGATCGATATTCCTGTTCACTGAGAGATAAAGTCAACTGCAGCTAGTTACTGCATCCTCAGGCAAAGATTTTTCGGTGATTTTTCGGGTGATGAACCGTTTGCAATCCAACTGCTAAGCTCGGCGAACAGACCAACAACCACGCAGCGCACCCAACCTACCTACATCCCACAACATTGCTAACATCAGTGACCTATTGTTTGACGTGAACTAGTTTTTAGAGATTCCTACGCGTAATTTACACAAAAGTGATCAGCGTGATGTCTTGTGTGACCCTACTCGTAGACACAACATCCTGGTTCACGTTATGCTGGGAAAACATATAAATCAACTGGTTTACAGTTCATCGCGTTCGCTAAAAGTTTCAACGCCACCCCGTCCCTTAAAACCTATCGTCCAAAAGTGGTTAAATGGCCGTCAAACGAACTAGCTGGATTCAATCAGTCGCGACACTGTGTGGCGAGAAAAGGTTCGGGTAAAACGAGCACACACCCCGCAGTCACAGAGTGACAGGAAACGGGTGTTACGGTCCGTCAAGGATAGTCCACTTGTGGTGCATCATACGGAATATATATATATATATATATATATATCGGCATTGTATTACATTGAGCAATAGCTTGGTTGTGGATTACGCTACCAAACTGGATAGCACATGAGGACCACGACAAGGTCTTGTGAAAAAGAACACCCCAATGCGATTTCTGTTATTGATTTTGTTGATGTTCTGGGCACTATTCAACTGTTTATTCTTCCTAAGAGCTGAATAGGGGCTACATCGCGAAAAGGAGAGATGTATAGGTTACTTGATTGCCAAGTACATATGTTGCCTCCGAATAAATTCGAATGTTGGAAAGAAAACTTGTAGGCAAGCTTAAATACCGATCAGAATGATTTAAAAACATTATTGCAGGTGTTTTGTTTATCTAAGAGTTGATACCATACCTTTCAAACACAATCCAGGAGTTTTTTCGCGGACAGTAGCACCGGCAACGCTGGTATTCTCCCAGTTTACACACGTACCTGTACTTCTCACAATCAGCTAGCCTTTATCTACCTTAGTTCCCTGTGTGATCACCAGTTGCAGAAATGTTGTCGATGCATATATTTATCATCATGTGAGCCTATTTGATGAGTTTCGGTGGTAATGCAAGCATCCGTGTGCTTGGAGTCACAAAAATCACTTCTCGTTTAGGCCTAGTAAGAAGGAATAGGCTGAGAAAATCTGGAGGTACATGAAAAAAAAAACGAACGCTTTGGTCTTCGAAAGGAAACCCTCAATTACAGAAGCATATACGCATTTATTTATATGCTAAACGGCTTTTCAGAATCAAGGAAAAGTTTAACTTGTCGTCAGATCTATTGCTCAAATCCCTTGTTTGGTGTTTTTCAAGCTGGCCACTCTAAAAAGTCTTGAGTTGTTTAAGGAAACTAGACTGGCGCAAATACACCTGAAGTTAATTTAGACACATGTCAGTATTTCAGTTTCGCACATTTGCGCAAGTCGTTATTGAAAAATCCTACACATTTCTCTCTCTAAAAGACTGTGTTGTCAACTCTGTTTTTGGAAAGGTTGATTGCTTCATTCAAAGCTAAACAGTTGCGTTATTTTTTGCGGCGCAAATTGTGCCGCTGCACTACGGTGTTTCTGATGAATGCGTTTCTGGACTTGGGTGATTCCGAAACAAGTGTGCAGTTCTGAGACCGTATCGAAATCCTTGCAGATGAAACCCACAGGGGATCCGAAACTGCTTTAGTGTTCTGGCTCATAATCTACTCGAAGGACCTTTTGTTGACGGTTAAAAATTTTTCCCGAGCTCCAGTTTGTATTCTAATGGATAAAGCGACAGGTACATCAAGGCTGTCGAAATCGACGAGTATCGCCACTCGGTGTCATTGAACTGGCCTATGCGTATTGCTGGCCCGTCAGGTAACCGTAGCTGAACATGTGACAGTACCAGTCAGCACTGACGCAGGTATATGCCAGGTATATCTTCGAAGATCTCATCTCCTACTATTCAATTTGAACCTTCACAACTACATGCTCCAATACTGTCCTTAGATTTTTCGTCCTTTGGACGATATTTCCTTGGATGCGCTTCCCTAGTCTTGTCCAACAAAATGAATCAAACCTCTGGATTCATTCTAATAATTCTAGTTCAACAAGGAACGACCGTACAAAATTTAAATCACACTAATATCACGAGCCTTAAGCGCACCAAATCCAAAACCGTCCAGAACATCATGTCACAACAACCGTGCTAATAGTATGACAGTCTTTTTGGTTTGGAAGTAACTACCTACCTCTGTTTCACTCTTCTTGCGCTTCACCAAACAGGCCTGGTCCCCAAATTCTAATTTCACGCTTGCAACCAAAGATTGAAGTCATTTCTTTGAAAAGAGCAAAAAACACGATGCGCCTTTTCAGGGGACGTGTTAGCTTATTTTCTCCTGGGCTTGTAACGGAGAAATTCAAAATGCAAAGAAACTATACCGTATTCATCAAAAAGGAAGTTTATGTAACTTCAAAAAATTGACATCCCAACTTATTTGGTAAACTAACATGCACGCTCTTTCCAAACGCTTCATAACAAAGGGAAGCCAAAAAATGTTGACCGTTCGAAAGCGGTTAATATGAACACACTCAACAGTAACTCACGCAGTGGCTGCACATTTTGGATAATTTTAAACCTTTTTGAAGAGTGGAGCACACACTTTAGAACTCCTCATTGAAAGCATTAATTGTGGTGTATTCGGGTTCGTTGGCGGTGGAAGCGATCACTTCACTCCGCTCTTCAGATTCCATTTTCCGCTCATTCCTCTCAATCGACGCTGGTGCAGTTTGATCAGAAGCAGGTATTGCGCCTGTTCCCAAATGCTGAACATCATGTTCAATGTCGGGCAGTTCAGGAAAGCATTAATTGTGGTGTATTCGGGTTCATCGGCGGTGGAAGCGATCACTTCACTCCGTTCGTCAGATTCTATTTTCCCCTCATTTCTCTCAATCGACGCTGGTGCAGTTTGATTAGAAGCAGGTATTGGGCCTGTTCCCAAATGCTGAACACTATGTTCAATGTCGGGCTGTTCAACGATGCCTGGCTCCCTTGGCATACCATCGCTGTCTTCTCCAACCTCATATGACGCTGTCCTCTCGATTTCGGATGACCGAGAGTCATGCACCATAGCTGACGACTCAGACGGTGATGGCAGACCAAGTTCTGGTGAAACAGCTCTTTCCCCTGGATCCGAAACATTTCTCTCCGAAGAAGCTAGCACGGATTCTTGATTTCGGTCCTCGAGTTTGGGTTCTGCAATGGTGCTGCCAGTAGGGCTTGTTGCTTCCGCCTCTTGCAGCAGGTCGCCATCTTTTTGGCCTAGTTGATACACATCTGTTGTCTCTGCTTTCGGTAGTTGGGACTCAAGCAACTCGGTGGCTGCACCACCATCTGGTGTTGCGGCGCGTCCTAGTGAATAAAGACTTTCTTTAGTTTCTGGCTGATTGTTACCCAACCTATCGAAACGAATGTCTTCACCATGGCTCACCGGTTTGGCCACCGCTTCGATATCGCCAACCAGTCTTGTTATTTCCAACTGCCGCAATTGTCCATCGCCGTCCTGTTCAAGCCCACCGATTTTTGTTCTATCCCCTTGCAAACGTTCAAAATCATAAGATGCCACAGGTTCTGTATGTGGTTGTGTCAGAAGATGATCCACTGGAATAGTATATTCACTGTTTTCGAACTGTTTGTAATCGGGGAACTCCAACTCAGTTCTCTTGGCATGTTCGGATGTAGGTCCGAAATCATCAGATAAGCTTGCTAAGTTTTTATCCTGCGTTGGCTCCCTGTCTCCTAGTCTCGATTCACCCACAGCTGTTTTATCCAACTGAGATGGTTGGGCATCAACTGATACGACGAGTGTTCCAAGCGATGATCTCAAATTATGCATTTCCGGAACAGAAACTTCGGATTTTTCCGGTCGCTTCTGATCAGATAAATCCAAAAAATCTTCACCATTGTCTTTCCGTGAAGATGCCAGTATTGAGTTACCTGACTTGTGTTCCTCCTTATCTTTGTATTGGCCCTCTACCTTTTTCGGCTCCTCAGATGATTGGAGACTCTGCGCATAATCGAGTCTCATAGACGGTTGTTTTAAAAACACCTCTATTACCGAACTAACCCTTTTGTTTCTAAAACCTTCTTCACTAGTCGTAGCAGATTGCAGACCTTTGTATCTGGGTTCTGGTTCAGGTTCTGTTCCCACGGCTAAGCTAGTTCTATTTGACTCTATTTTAATATCTTCCCTCACTGCTCGTAACCCACTCCCATCAGCCACTACCTTCATCGTATAATTCGGCTGGGAAAGCATCCGAACTGTTATTTCCACAGCATCGCTGAAACGACGACGTTGACGCGGCTTGAGAAACTGCGTTTGAACTGATTTGTCTTTTCCGTCACATTTGTATTGTTCATCCTCCAAATTCCATTCGTCAATTTCCGTTGATTTATCCATCCTCAACATGCTTTTTTTATCCTCAAATACTTTGTTTTGGACTAGTCCCCTCTTGGCTTGAGGACCGGGACCTCCTGTATAATGAACAGGCACTCCAGGAGGTTGTGGCTTCTGAATTACATGTAGTCCTCTGCGAGCTTTCAGTAGTTTTCTACCTTCGGTTTGCGTACTTTTTGCATTCCAGTAACTGGCTACCCTGGGTACTATTAGGTCTTCCTTTACAGGGTGAAGTTTGCTTAGCTCTCTTTGTTCTGCTGTCTCAGCATTTGAACGAAGTTGCCCTTGTTGATCCACGTTTGTGAGTAACTCGTGAATTCGACTCAAGAGTTTAGCACGACGAATTTCTAGCAGACGTATTTGTTCCTCCTTATTAACACCACGGGCCACACTGAAACTGCTTTGTGGATGATCAGAGTAGCCTGATTCCCGTACACTGTTTTTCAAGTTTGAAGCGGAATATGCTTGTACGGTCGATTCTCTTCCCGACTTGGTAACAAGTTCATCTTCAGACTGACTTCCCTGCAATGAGGGACTACTCTGTTCAACGTACACGGTATCATACTTGGTTCCTCTGAACGATATATGTTTGGATTCTCTGGAGTTCCTGATCGCTGCTGGTATACTATCAGTTCTTCGTAGATGATCTGCATAAGATTTGTTGGAACGCATTACTTCTTTGTCAGCAAGGGTGGTAAGGTTGCTGCTTTTCACAAGGTTCCGTTGCAGATGCGCTGTTTGATCACTTCGCTCTTTGTTTGTGCGGACACCACCGATCAACGGAATTCCTTCCAGAATGTGGGATTTCGTATTCCTCACCTTCTCCTTTAGCACAGATAGATTTAGCATGAATTCCACCGCTATCAGTACGTGTGAGTTTCTACCTGGCAAACCACAAAACTAACCTCTTGTTTGGAAACCGCAATATGACCAGCCAACTGAAATTCAAGGTCATGACCCTGACTTATTTTGTCCAAAGACTCTTAGCGCTTGAAAAACTGCTACCTCACAGGTAATCGAAGCTCATGTAAAGGTGTATGCGCAGTATACAGCACTAGCTGCAAAGCAATGTAGGTTTAGAGTGGTGTGATAGAGAGTGTGATACATAACACGAACCATGTGTACCTTTTTTGTGCGTCATATAGCCTGTTGAGACGTATGCAAAAACGTTATAAATTTAGAAATATAGGAACGGATGATATGCACATAATGAGTGGTGCGGTTAAAATAACCTGCCCAAGGGCCCGGAATAAAAACGGAACGCTGCTCACACAGTTTCTGAAAATGTTTTATTGAGGCGTACACAGCGAGTTTCTACTTGCGAACCGATTTCGTTTGAATGAGAGAATCTGCTGAATGTCAGATAAATATCTCGTTTAAAATGCTCTGCTTCAGTTGAATGTGCTGTACCAGACCACTTCAGTTGATATGATATTCGAGATATTACGATACGTTGTCTAAAGCTGGATCTCAGGAATGGTTTTGCACACACACACGCGATTGTTAAACTAAACTGGCTAATATCGATGAAATCTCCACAAGTTCGGCGTAAAAACAGTTAATTAATAAAGGTGAACAGTGAAGGACAGTTAGTCTTATGATAAAAGGCATTCGTCATGTTTTCAAACTACGCTTCCTGCGTGGCCACGCCTGAACACATCTTAACTCGTAATGCGTTACATTAGGGTGAAGAGGCAACTACTGATTAGTGCTGTGTGGGGATCGTTTCTAAATCATTCATTTGTTGATCAAGTTTGGAGTGGAATTAAATTTTAGTACACTTTGCAGGATTCGTACTATGCATCCCAGAACAGAACAGCCCGATAATACACTTCTGAATCGGGAGCTAGAGAGTAGGATTAATCAAACGCAATATAGTCGTCAAGCTGGAATCGTCCTAGGATGAGGGCTGGCAGAACAACCCTTGTAGCGCTTGACGTTCATTTATTCTGGTAGTTGAGGTATTTCTAATACTTTGTATATATAAGTTGCGCTCAGCGAAATATGCGGGTTAGAGTGGCTAGATAGATCGATTCAAACTGGTCTCAAAAGGTCTCCGAGGCGAAGGACTAAATCTTTCTGAAGTGCGTAAAATGCACTGGAAAAACGGGTAAAATTTGTACGAAAACATTTGCTTCTGTCTCCCATAGCTAAATAGGATTCACACACACATAATATAGCAGTATTCTGAGGATTCAAGAGCAGAATGTGACCTGTTTATTTGTTCAGTTTCATCTTACTCTAACCGTTGTGTGGTTTTTCTAGAACGTGATCAAGCAAACGTTGACAGGGAACGAAACGGCATCGAGCACAAACAGCGTATGGTCCCCAGTGGAGATAGGAAGTTGGTTCCCCCACCTCGGATGGCTTCCGTTTTCAGCGACCCGTTAATTTGAGCGCGTCCAAGGTGATTCAGGCAGATTGACAAGACCTGTACGAGACAGCGCGCGAATCGAAGCATAATTCTTGGTAGCTTGATAGTGCAAGATGCGGATAGGTTTTCAGCATCAAAACTATGAAACTCAAAGATATCAATTTATTTGGGTTATAACCCGGTTTTGAGAACTGCGTTTGTCGGATTATATCAAGATTATGCTCATGCCTCTTTGAGAACACTGCAGAAATTTGAAAAAATACTTGGATCATTCAGTGGTCAAATGTGGATAATGGTGGAGTCATGTGACTTGTTTACAACTACGTTTTTATTGTAGTTCACAGTACGTCAGAAGAGCGCGTAAGTACGGACACGGGTGTATTGGGTACACGCGGCCAATCTGGTCCGCTTTCGTGGCAGGCAAGCAAAACAACTGAGTCACATATCCAGTCAACCCACAGCGCTCACGCGAGCCAACCAATCGGACACATCCAATCAGCCACTCAAGTCACATGCCAGATCGATGGTGGAACGACGAACGGACACGCACACGCGCAAACTCTCTGACACACCGAAGCAGCTACTACAGTTTTTGAGGCTGGCTCGAGTTCGAATCGATAAATTGGGAAACTGAGTTGTCTGAGAAGGGTTTTTATCAGAATGGTTGAATTGGTTTCACAATGTTCCAAGAGACTACTGAGTTCCGTTGTCATCTCAAACTACGATGACGTGTTTCGACAACAGGCTGCTTTATCGATGGGCTCTACTACTCTGTTGCCATCTGTGGAGACTGAGTTGTGTGCAACACGGCCCGTGGTAAGTGTTTTGCTAACTGTTTAGTACTTTACTGCGAAAGGCGTCACTGAAGTGAAGCCACCACAAACAGACTGACACATAACGCGAGGGGTGGAACGGTCTTCCAACCTCCAGGGCTCAAAATGAATCGTCAGCATTTTTGAGCTGAATGCTGTGCGCATTTGAGCAGTTGGAAGTGTGTAGTTTACCGCGTGTACCAAATTGTGTTTTGTTCTGTTAGACTACCATTCCAGTGAGAAACACATGAAAGATTCTTTATTTTGAGTTGTACTGCTTCGGTTGAGTGGGGGAAGGTGTTGGTTCATCATAGCATTTGTTCGGGATAGATGTTAGCTACGAAGTTATTAATTTTCTTTATTAGCTGGTCTGGTGCACATTTATACCAGACTCTGGTTGGTAGACAACTAACACACAGGTCTAACCATTTCATGGTTTTCTACGTTTGAAGTAAAGTAGATTTTCCGTAAAAACAATTTCTCAAGGACGATAAACCGTGTCAAAAAAATTCACCATGTGATGGCATGCGGTCTCACTTGTGTTTGTGCACTGACGTGGCCAACATACGGATGGTGTACCACCACTGGTCTCTCCAGCCATCATCGTCGGTTAAATCTTAGCCCAAATAAAGCGCACTAGATACTTCAAAGCTAGGTTATCCGTTGATCTTCCCGGGAATGATCACGCAGAGGACGTGCATCTGAAACTCCGGTGACTGAGTTCTTTTCTTTCAGAAGAATTCCCTCTCTAGGAGGTTTTCTTTTTGTAGTAAATCTTTCATTCTTGTCACTGCTGTGTCTACGATACTTTACTGCTCACCGGCACTTTTTGACCTGTTGAAATTAGAGTTACCTGTCATCTAGCAGTGAAGCAAAAAACCTCGATAAATCACCATATCAAAGTTTACCTGGATCTTCTTGACACAATTCTGCATGATCGCTCCCATCCCCTACATACCGCACTGCGGAAATCTCATCCTAATGGTCCATTAAAGTTCACTGGCGTATTTTGTTGCACCAAAACCTCTGTTTATATAAGTTTCCTAGTCCTTTGTATGATACTACTTAATACTTCACCTCTGTCATTTTGAGAATGTGATCTATTTGAGTCGTTTTGGCTTACACAGTTTCTGTTTATTTAGCTGCATGCGTCCTGTTCTCCAAGTGCTTGTAGGTGTTTCTACTGATTTTTTTTACAGATCTATTGAAACATTCATCCATAAACGTGCTAACAATAAGGAACGAAAAAGTATTGTAATTCTGACTTTGAGCAGAATATTTCAAACAAAAGTTTAGCTAGGTTGGTGTGCATAGCATAACGATCAGCGCAATACCCGTCCCAGAGCGATGTATGCACTGCTTACGTCGAACGGTGATGAAGTCAAAAAACGAGTAAACTGCTGGATCGAAACAGAGCACTCAGTCCCGACCCTGTCCTTGCTTCGTTTTGAATAGAACAAAGGGGATTGTTCACAGTCTGCCAAAAAACATGCTGAACTTTTAGAAGGCAGCATGAATACCAGAATAAAGTTTGATACACATTGTTTTTTTCTGAACTCAAAAACGGTGTCTCAGCTTGTAAGCTACCTGCAGGTATCATTCTACGAAGGCTTACTAGCACTCAGGAGAAGCCGAGTGACAAAAGCCAAGTGGGATTACGTTCTGTTAATGAAAGAATTGACAATTTTACCTTATGATTACTTTTCGAACCCGCCACACTTATATAAAGTCAAAAATTGTTATCCTTCTGGGTATGTTAGCCGCGATTGATTCAGTCGATTGCGCTGATTTTTGCCAGCACATTTCCTTTAGAAATGTTCCGAGCCTCCTCATCATATTTCTTAATCCCTTGTACTCCAGTTTGCGCGAGAGTTTTACAGTCTACGAAGGCCAACGTTCTGGCTTGGACACCAAAAAATATTTGTTGGACATATCCTTTGTCAGCTTCTCTTTCCAAACTCGCCGTGGAATCCCCAGAAGACCTTTGTGTCCATTACTGCTGACAGATAACTTCTTTCTGAGGACTTGGAACATCCAGAAAATGTCGCGCCACCAAATTCAGCATCCAGCGAGACACAAATCACACCAAGCAATCTATATAATGTCACGCGGATGAAAAGGCATCTTGCCTCTTCAAAGGGTCTTTGCCAGACTAAACTAGCACACTGCCAAAGCTGCGCATGACATCAGTGGACAATTTCACTGGGTCAAGTCAGATGGTAGCGGTGCCCACGACCGAAATGCTGAAATCGTCGAGGCATGTTCTACTTTCCCTCAGTTTAGATACCTCTGAGGTCGATATGACGTTAGCCTGTAGGTGAGTAACAACAGTTCTGTTATAGTGTTACATCCAATGTTAGTTCACAGTCATAAAACCAAAGAACTTTGGTGTCTGGGAGACGTTGCATGACAATTAAGGGAGCATCGGATTAACACTGTTGAGTTGAGACGAATGGTCTTTGGCAAAAAACCGGCCGCATGTTTAATCGACTGCACCAGCTGTGCTACCTCTATCAAGTTCTTCGTAAGCCAGTTGACTAGTTGCTTCGCCTTGCTGCGCTAAGGTAAGTAATGAATGGAAGATGCTATAAGAAGGGGCAGCACGCACTGGAAGCTGAGCGTGGAAGATACAACAGTTCCTTCGTTGTGGTGGTGGAGCAGGT